AAGCAAGGTGATGATACCTAAAATATTCATTGCTTTTAAAGACACCCTCCCTTTAGTGACCAGTAACCAGGACACCAGACCCTAATTATTAACAAAGGCAACTGATAATGTTTAGAGGAAACAATGCCTTTCTCCCTAAAAACAAAATTCTAAATGGTTTCTCAAGCTACATCAGATCTATCACTTTCTCTTTTACTCCAGTTGTATCTTAGATTAAGTGAAATACCTGCATGACTGTCTTTTGTTTGTTTATTACTGATTTTTTTTGTGTGGAGATGGGGGTCCCATTGTATTGCTCAGGCTGGTCTTGAACTCCTGGCCTCAGGCAGTCCTCCTACCTTGGCCACCCAAAGTGTTGGGATTATAGACATGAGCCCCTGCTCCTGGCCCTGTCTTTTGTTCAAATTATTTCATTTCAACAACAACTTGCACGTAATACTACTTTGCCTAGGACCCACCTGGATGTTCTGTGGAGAATGTATCACAAATAGTTTTATTTTTAATCATCTGGGCAGCTATACAATATGACACCCAGAAATGCAAGGATCCCATTGAGGTAGAGCACTCAGGTAAATGGGCTAATTAATTTTCTGATAAAAGCATTTTTGTGTGTGTGTTGTCTGCCCTTATTCATTCAACTCCAGGAGATATGTATTTAGTATTTGTGGTTGGTGGCGACGTCATGCAATGTTAAATAATATTTAAAGCAGCTATGAGCTATATAAGAGATGTTGCAAGACATTAAAATTAATGCTGCACATTGGTAAAGGAAAATTATCTTTGTAGGGTAGATTGGTAGGGGAAGACTGTGGGATTTTCATTCATCCATTCATTTATCAAATATTTACTGAGAGCTTATTAAGTTCCTAGAACCTCTCTGGTTATTGGGCATGGGATAGTGCATAAGATAGGAAGGTCGGCGGGCGTGGTGGTTCATTCCTGTCATCTCAGCACTTTGGGAGGCTGAGGCTGGTGGATTGCTTGAGGTCAGGAGTTCAAGACCAGCTTGACCAACATGGCGAAACCCCATCTCTACTAAAAATACAAAAATTTGCCAGATGTAGTGGTGCGCGCCTGTAATCCCAGCTACTTGGGAGGCTGAGGCAGGAGAATTGCTTGGACCTGGGAGGCGAAGGTTGCAGTGAGCTGAGATTGCGACATTGCATTCTAGCCTGAGTGACAGAGCCAGACTCCGTCTCAAAGGTGCTAAGGTGCTTACATTCTTTTGGGAGAGCAAGGCAATAAACAAAAAGTTTATTTAACAAGAAATATTTGGTAGTGGCTCTGTAGAACCTTAGTATAGGGCGGTATGATAGAGTTGCCTCCAGAGACTACTTTAGATTGTAAGTCAACATAGGCTGCTATGAAGAGGTGATATTTAAGTAGAGGCCTGAATGATAATAAGGAACCAACCATGCAGCGATCTGGGCATTCCAGACAGAGGGGTGGACCATGCCCAGGGCCAAAAGCAGGAAGGAGCTTGACATGTTTGTGGAACAAAAATATGAGATCCGAAAGATGAGTGAGGACCAGATTGTATAGCCGTTTGGATTAGATGCTAATTGCAGTGGTAAGCCACAGGAGGCCTTTAAGCAAAGGAGGGCCATACGTTTATGTTTTCAAATTTCATTCTGGCCACTGTGGAAGGAAGGCAAGAGCAGAAGCAGTGATACTAAGGTGACTGCAGAAGAGATTCTGGTGCCTTTTATGAGGGGGATGGTAAGGTAGATGAGTGAAGTAGATAGTTTCGGGTTGATAGCCTATAGATCTGCCAGTGAATTTGAAATGGACGTAAGGGAAACAGAACTCAAAGATGACTTCTAGGTTTCTGGCTCAAGCAGCTGGGTAAATGATGGTGAACTTTGAAGAAAGGATGGGATTTGGAGAAAAGGAGCCAAGAATTTCAGTTATAGAGCTGGGACTAGATGTGGCTTATGGAGAAAGTGCTAAAGATTTGGCTAAAACAAAAAGCTTTTACTCAGTGCCCCCAAGAACAGAGGACATCAGATTCTGTCTAGTAAATTTTTAAAAAAAGTATTATAAATGTATAGTTGTTTCCATAAGAAGGGCCCATCAGGAGAAAAAGTGCAGTAGAAAGGATGGGGAATTGAAGGAGTAGAAAATAGAAACAGGATAAATAAACAAGTCAGAGAAAGACACACAGATAAAGAGATAAAAAGAGAAAATACAGACAAAAGAGACAAATGTGCAGAATTAGAGAGAGAAGGGGCAAGCACGCTCACACAGACTCTTCACTCTCCTCCATTCTACACCTGGAGCCAGAGAGACACTAGAGGCAGTTGTGAGATCAAAACTTTTTTCTTTATTGTAATTAACTATGAAGTGATAACAAGACACAGACCAAAAGCAAATAGGACCAAATCTTTATCTGAAACAGGAAAGTTGTCTTTATTCTGTTGTTTGTTATTAGAGTGGATCTTCTGCCCTGAAATATTGCCAGGATGAAAATGGTTTTTACAATTTATTAGCTAAGCAGAGAGTTGAATAATGGCCAGAAAAATATATTACTGACGGTGCACAATTACTCACTTTGGTAAAGATAAAAGGCTCTCAAAAGGGATTGTTTCTCCTCAATGAAAACAGTGAGAAATTAACTGTCAATTAACTGGTTAAATTGAACTTTAGGAATAAACCCACAAACAAATGCACAATTCATCCATCCATCCATCCATCTCATACCATACCCTACTCTACTCTACCCTACCTTACCCTACCCTAAACTTACCTAAATTTATTGATGTCATAAATAGGCTCTATTTAGAATAGAAAAACACTTTACTTTTTTTTTTATTTGTTAGGTTTTGTAAATAATATCTATAGCCACCCTAGACTAATTGTTAATTTTCTTAGAATTGGTGATTGGTTAAAAATATGTTTCCTAGGCTGGGTCATGCCTGTAATCTCAACACTTTGGGAGGGTTGAGGCAGGTGGATTACTTGAGCCCAGAAGTTCGAGACCAGCCTGGGCAACATAGCGAAACCCCATCTCTACAAAAAAACAGAAAAAATTAGCTGGGCGTGGTGGTGCACATCTGTAGTCCCAGCTGCTCTGGAGGCTGAGGCAGAAGGATCACCTGAGGCCGGAAGGTCTAGGCTGTGGTGAGCCATGATTGTGCCACTGCACTCCCGCCTGGGTGAGAGTGAGACCTTATCTCAAAAAATATATGTATGTATTTACTAGAAATCCACAAGAACCTACAAATGAATTGATTCAACAGTGAGGTATGAGGAACAAAGTGCATTATTAGAAGACCAAGAAACATGGCAGGTGTCCTATAAGAGGCAGTGTTATTGGGACCTCCACTGTGCATCATCCCAAAAGACCAGTGAAACTCTCTAACAAATAACAAAAATAATACTATATAGTTTAAAAGCTATGGAACAAGAATGGAATGAAAAGTCATGAATTGCATTTGGCTGAGGGTTTTTCTTATTATTTCACCCTTTCCTTCTTCCTTTTCTTCTTCCCTCCCACCTTCTCTTCATTTTCTAAAAAAATTCTTATATGAGTTTTCCTTAGGAGGACATAGAAGGAACACTCAATAAAGACATTGTACCTGGGTTCTGTTATTTAAGATTATGTCTTAGTAGTTCTGTGAAAAAAACTAAACTAGATTTCTAAAATCTATTTTAATATAACATTCTAAAATAATATTTAATATGACATTTGTATTTATCTTCTTATTTTGACTTCTCGCCTTTTAGGATATTATTGATGTTGTTAATAATATTGTTACAGTTGGGGTCAGCACCAGCCAGCTCCAAGACAGAACAAGGCCGTAGACACTGAGATATGTCTGATGAGATGATGGGGAATGTGTTATGATTTATAAAGACAGATGAATTATCACTGCCCTTTCCTAGTGAATAATACTCAGTATTTGCCACAAGAGGAGTTTTTTTTTGTTTTTTGTTTTTTGTTTTTTTTTAAATGAATGATCATTCAAAGTAGAGAGCTAGCATGGAGAATAGTCTGGTTAGTATGGGAAGTTCTGTGCTGGGGCTATTACCATTTGGATTTTCCTTGGAAGTTTCGAGGTGAGTTTTGATTAGAACATTTAACTTCATCAAAGGTTACGTGATTGGATTGCATATAAAGCTGCTTTAAGTATTAAAATAGAGACATTTTGACTTGGATTACCAGTTAAACCATTTTGGGCACAGCCTTAACTGCAGGTGGTGTGATTGAGATGTCTGTGGGTTGCCACATAACTCCACAGTTTGCTTTTATATGTGTGATTGTGAGTGGGAAGGGTGGGGTACCGGCACTTGGCATGAACAGATCATGCTTCCTGACATCTCTTCTCCACAAGCATTCTTTTCCAGGTGACAGAGACTTGAACAGATTTCGGGAGACACTTTAAGAGTGAAAGGTGAGAGGAGGAACGGACAGTGGAGAGGTGTGTGCTGCACATGACTAAATATTTCCTTCCCGTTTGACATTACTCTCCCGGGAGTCCTTAAAAAAAAATATTAGTAGAATCTTTATTTTAAAGTTTATTTATGTGGGTCTTATGGAAGCCCTAAAGGCTCCCTTTATTTTTTTTTACTTCAAGTGGAAATTATTTCACATCTATGTTTGATGTGGTGGTGGGGAAAGTACCCTGGACTTAGAGCCAAGAGAAACAGATTCTTGTCTGAGCTCTGCTGCTGAATAGCTGTGTAGGCTCTCTGGCTTACTGGGCAGCAGAGTCTTCATCTGTCTTAGAGATTGGCAAAGTTTTCCTGTGATGGGCCAGATAGCAAATTAATTTAGGTTTCCCAGGTTACATGCAGTCTCTGTTGAGTATTTTACTTCGGTTTTGTTTATTTGTTATAATCCTTTAAAAATGTAAAAACCGTTCTTAGCTCCTGGGCAGGTCATGGGCTGCATCTGCCCTCTTGCCTTCACTGGCTGAGTCCTGATCTGTATGAAAGAAAAGGAGGGGGCTCTTCGCTCTCGCCGAGGAACAAGTCGGTCAGGAAGCCGTGCAGCAGCCATGGCTTTTAAGGATACCGGAAAAACACCCGTGGAGCCGGAGGTGGCAATTCACCGAATTCGAATCACCCTAACGAGCCGCAACGTTAAATCTCTGGAAAAGGTGTGTGCTGACTTGATCAGAGGCGCGAAGGAAAAGAACCTGAAAGTGAAAGGACCAGTTCGAATGCCTGCCAAGACTTTGAGAATCACTACAAGAAAAACTCCTTGTGGTGAAGGTTCTAAGACATGGGATCGTTTCCAGATGAGAATCCACAAGCGACTCATTGACTTGCACAGTCCTTCTGAGATTGTTAAGCAGATTACTTCCATCAGTATTGAGCCAGGAGTTGAGGTGGAAGTCACCATTGCAGATGCTTAAGTCAACTATTTTAATAAATTGATTACCAGTTGTTTAAAAAAAAAGAAAGAAAGAAAGAAAAGGAGGGGAAGAAATGTGAAAAGAAGGAGCTTGAACTAACAATTTTTAGATATAGGACTCTGATATGTTCTGAGGAGCACCAGGCTAAAGAATAGATTCTGGAAGCAAGAGTTAGTTATTTATCTTTTTCCCTTAGATTTTTAATATTATGTATTTATTCATGGTATAGTTTCTCTTTTCTAATTTCCTCAGTTTAAATTAGATTTCACTCCTATTTCCTATTCTTCAGTTCTCCCTGCATATTACTATTTACCATTTGCACACTCCCCAGATTTCTTATTGCATACACATTCCTAGGGAAGCAAACAGATGAGAGGAGTGGCTTTCTTTGCAGATGGAGACGTGGCCTTTCACTTAGGGAAAGGGAAGCAGCCATTTGATTGCCCCTGGAGACCTAAGCAGGGTTGTGAGTGCTAAGCAGGCAGAGCCCGGCAACTCTGAATCCTGGGAGGGCGCCAGGAATGGCAGCCAGGAATGGGTCAGGGAGTGCACGCTGATAAAGACCTGTGTCCTTCCTTTCTGATAGTGTTTGTTTGTTTGTTGAGACAGGGTCTCACTGTGTCACCCAGGCTGGGTTGTAGTGTTGCAATCATGGCTTATTGCAGCCTTGACCTCCTGGCCTCAAGCGATCCTCCTACCTCAGGCTCCTTAAAGTGTTGGGATTACAGGTGGTGAGCCACTGAGCCCAGCCCTTGCTGATAGTGTTGAATCCTATTACTCACACTGAACCAACAATCTGAAGTTCTATCTGAAGTGTCCCCTTAGCTCATGTTGGAATGTGCTGACATTTTTGTTTCCTGGAGGACCCCGGACACCTCCTTCACTTTCCCTTCACCTCTTCCCCTATCTAATCCATGCAAATCCAGTGCCCCATTCTGTTTGGATCCTCTTCCCTACCCCTCCTATCTGATTTCCATGGCATTCAGGAAGTGTCCAGCTGCATCACTCACCGTTTCTCCACTGAGGCTGTTGGCTGGTGCAGTTGGTGAATCAGCCTGGCCCCCATCAGTGCCATGTGGTCTTATGGCTGACTTTGGGGCTTTGATCCTGGAACCACTTTGAACATGTTTCCTCTATTCTCAGGCAGGCACTTATGAGAAAGAAACTGTCACCGCTCCCCTCTTTCACCTTTCATTCACTTCTCTACCACAGTTACTGGGTACCAGCCCTGCCACGCCACACAAATGGTCTCTCTCCCTCTTCTTCCTTTTTGAAGGAGTACTAGTGATTTTGTCTGCTGGTTCACCCCTTTAATGTTACAGTTTACCTGATTCTTTCTGAAACCTTCTTCTTCCTTATGCCTTCTTTAGCTGGTTTCATTCATTCCTGTGGCTCTGTCGCCTCTATGCTTATTGTTGCCAAATGTGCATCACCATGCCATCCGAATATTTTTTCCTACACATCACACTCTTTTATCCAGATGCCTACTGGACATAACTGGTTCAATGCCCACAGAAATCACAAAATTCAGTGTATACAAAACTGACCTCAGTCCCTTCTCCCTAAAACCTGAAGCACCTCTTTTGTTCCTTACTTATTTCAGTTACCCAAGTCACTGAAGCCATAAACATGAACATGTTCCTAAGGAGTGTGTCACCACTCTTTCTTCTCCTGTATCCCTCCTTTGCCTGTCTGCTACCATGTCACTAATTCAGGCCCTCATTACCCCTCTCCACTATCTCTTTCTCTTTTGTTTCCCCTTAAACCCATCTCTCCTCTGTTGCCATGTCTAAAATTTAAACCCATTATCATTTCACACTCTTGAAAATTCTTTCAAGAATTTCCTAACACAGAATAAAGCCCCAAATCTCCAGTGTGACTAATGACTCTATGATCAGGCTCCTCCACCTCTCTAGATTTTTTTTTTTTCTTTTCAGCTTTTATTTTAGGTTCAAGGGGTACATGTGCAGGTTTGTTACATGGGTAAATTACATGTCATGGGGTTTGGTGTACAGATAATTTTGTCACCCTAGTAAATAGCATAATACCTGATAGGTAGTTTTTCGGTCCTCACTGGGGCCACTCTCAAGTAGGCCCTGGTGTCTGTTGTTCCCAGCTTACTTATTTATTTTTGAGACAGAGTCTTGCTCTGTCGCCTAGGCTGGAGTACAGTGACGTGATCTCGGCTCCTGCAACCTCTGCCTCCTGGGTTCAAGCAGTTCTCCTGCCTCAGCCTCCCAAGTAGCTGGGACTGCAGGTGTGCACCATGATGCCCGGCATTATAAACTTAAGAAATACTTTAACCAAAATTATCTGGTTTCTGAAGCAGTAGGAAGAATAATGGATTTAGTATTAACGACCTCAGTTGAAGTATTCTTTTAGCCATTTCTAGCTAAACTGATTTGTGCCAAGTTACTTACTGCCTCTGAGGCTCCCATCTTTAAAATGGGCACATTACTACTAACAATTGAATAATTGAACAAATTATATACTGTACTTTTTTTTTTCTTTTTTTTGACGGAATCTTGCTCTGTTGCCCAGGCTGGAGTGTAGGAGTGCAGTGGCGTGAGCTTGGCTCACTGCATCCTCCGCCTCCCAGGTTCAAGCAATTCTCCTGCCTCAGCCTCCTGAGTACCTGGGATTACAGGTGGCCGCCACCATGCCCAGGTGATTTTTGTATTTTTGATAGAGACAGGTTTCGCCATGTTGGCCAGGCTGGTCTCGAACTCCTGACCTCAGGTGATTCACCTGCCTTGGCCTCCCAAAGTGCTGGGATTACAGGTGTGAGCCACCATGCCCAGCCTAGTTTTTCTATAGTATTGTACCTCAACTTTTTCACTAACAAATTAGAGATATTTTACTTTGGGTTTGAGTACATGAATTAATATTTAATATCACCAGTAAAGTGCAACATTTAGAATGTCCCCAAAAAGTCTGGCACCACAAATTTACATGCCCTGTAGAGATCCTACCTTAACCGGAATTTGAATTTCCTGTGCCAGCTAAATTGGGTCACTTTGTTAGTGAAAGCTTGTGTTGCTGCAGTCCCGGGGCGTCTTGCCCTTTGTTAGGCTGTAAACATGACGCTGTCCTCTTCCCTCCTACTCCTTTGCTGCTTTTGTTACTTGAGGGTTCACTTTGCAGATTTGTTTTTCTGAGCCCTATCACTTTTCTTGATAGAGTGTCTACTGTTAAGTTGCCACCTATGGCATTGCTTCCTGTGGGGAACCTAGCTAGTGTGTGTGTAGGAACTATTTAGACAAAGTAGTTTCAGTCAAGGTATTATCGGAATTTTTTTTTTTTTTGAGACAGAGTTTCAGTCTTGTTGCCCAGACTGGAGTGCAATGGCACGACCCCAGCTCACCGCAACGTCCGTCTCCCGGGTTCAAGCAATTCTCCTGCCTCAGCCTCCTGAGCAGCTGGGATTACAGGCATGCACCATCACGCCTAGCTAATTTTGTATTTTTTAGTAGAGATGGGGTTTCTTCATTTTGGTCAGGCTGGTCTCAAACTCGTGACCTCAGGGGATCCACCCACTTTGGCCTCCCAAAGTGCTGGGATTACAGGTGTGAGCCACCGTGCCCAGCTATAGGATTTTATGGTCTGTGACACTAGGTTCCCCACTGAATTGTTCTGGGTGCTTACCTGTGAATGGGAGGAGGTTTTTTTCTGCCATTAAGAGTTTTAATCCATCATTAGTCTGTATAAAAAGTTCTTAATGAGGAGTATTACATTGACTGTATAGCTTCACCTTAAAATTTCATTTTAAAATAGTTGCATTTGCTTAACCAAAATATTCTGAGGGGCATCTAGGGGCCAGAAACTGCTCCTCATGAGGGGATAACAGTGGAGACCAAGAGAATACATATTCTGCCTTCTTTAATCATATGCCTTAATATGAAAGGTAAACTTTATTTTCCTTTTTTTTTTTTTGAGATGGAGTCTCGCTCTGTTGCCCAGGCTGGAGCGCAGTGGCGCAATCTCGGCTCACTGCAAGCTCTGCCTCCCGGGTTCACGCCATTCTCCTGCCTCAGCCTCCTGTGTAGCTGGGACTACAGGTGCCCGCCACCACACCCGGCTAATTTTTTTGTATTTTTAGTAGACACGGGGTTTCACTGTGTTCGCCAGGATGGTCTTGATCTCCTGACCTCATGATCCGCCCGTCTCGGCCTCCCAAAGTGCTGGGATTACAGGCGTGAGCCACCACGCCCAGCCCTATTTTCCTTTTTTTTTTTTAAACTGGCAGGATCAACTAGTTAAGAAAGGTAAACTTTACACAGGTAGTTTCACGTGTGATGAGATAATGAACGTGAAGTGCAGTGTTTAAGGGGAGCTGTAAAGGACTACATTGGGGTCATCTGCCTGGCACCCCTTTTCTAGGAATCACCTCTTATACCCAGGTGCTCCTGTCGTTATTGTTAGTGCAGCCTGACCTGATGCTGAGTCCGAGGATGAGCACCTGCCAAACTGGGCCAGGGAATTTTTTGAGCTAGGATCTCGTTCTGTCACCCAGGCTAGAGTGCAGTGGCACTGTCTTGGCTCACTGCAGCCTTGACCTCCCAGGCTCAAGAAATTCTGCCTCAGCCTCCTGAGTAGCTGGAACTACAGGCGCGTACCACCACGCCCAGGTAATTTTTGTATTTTTTTGTAGAGACGAGGTTTTGCCATGTTGCCCAGGCTGGTCTTAAACAAGTGATCTGCCCGCCTTGGTCTCCCGAAGTGCTGGGATTATATGTGTGAGCATTGCGCCCAGCTAGGGCCAGGCATCTTTGAAATGGGTCAGAGGCTAGAAGACCAAGGAATTCTTGGGTGTTTAAATAGCAGTGTGAAAGTGCTGGTCCTGTTAGGGGCCATAGTTCTAATCATAAGTCCTGAAGGAGTGGAGGAAGCCACAGTTAGGGGATGGGAGGATGTGACTCTGTTACCCAGAGGGTTGGATCCTGGAGATGGAGTGAAAGTTCTGGCGGCGTTTGGGTTTCTGGTTAGAGTTCTGAGATCCA